TATATATATATATATATATATATATATATATATACTCTTCGTTTCTATAATGTACGTCGATGGTTGCTCAATTAAAACTGACTTCTTCTCACTCACTCATTTGTGGTGAGCTACAGTGGACACTTTCATTTGTGCCATATCGTGGCACATTTACTGAACTATTTTGGTTCTATGTGGTTGTGTATACATACATACATTACAGCTATGCGGATCTTGACATGTCATTAGACGTTATAGACTAATGTAGGGTTTGGTTGGTAATACCAGGAGCAAATTTGTCATAATTAACCCCTGGTAATACGAGGTATCATTTGTCTAATAAAATTGGCAATTGTATATTTTTATACGAATTGGTAAATTTAGACCATTGTGTTAAACGAACAATAAAATCATATTATAATAAAGTTTTATTATGTGAAGTAAAAAATAATATTGTTTTACCTATAAATGTTAATTCACACAAGTGTACTCATATGACACCATGAACATATATCTACACAATACACAAATGCATACACATGTTTATGACAATGCCAATAGTGTAGTAATAAAATACTGCTGTTTTGGCATTTACCTGCCACTTCACCTGAGCATGTTTCTATCAAGGTTTAAAAGGCTTTCGAATACAGACTGGCTTCAACTTTTCTGGACAAATTCCACACTAGCCTACAATTTATTGCATGTGTATTTAACAAACTGATCCCACGCACTTGCTATATCGTTAAATTGTCTAATCAAATATCTGACACTTTTAAATCTAGTGTTACACATGATTAGTATGCTACGCTACTGTTTTTACAGTGTTAACACTAGGCACCTAACTACTACCATCTTGTTGGAGTAACAAAATGTTTTTTCTCACAATACATATAACATGTAAAATCTCTTCCTGGTTCTGATCTTTAATTTCCTATATCTGTTTTGATAACTCATAATATTGATTCGAATACAGACTGGCTTCAACTTTTCTGGACAAATTCCACAGACTGGCCTACAATTTTGCACTGTGTATTTAACAAACTGATCCCAGCATTGCTATATTAAAATTGTCTAATCAAATATCTGACACTTTTAAAATCTAGTGTTACACATGATTAGTAATGTACTCACGTTTTTACACAGTGTAAACACTACACTACTACATCTTGTTGGAGAACAAAAATGTTTTTTCTCACAATACATATAACATGTAAAATCTCTTCCTGGTTCTGATCTTTAATTTCTATGTCTTTGATAACTTCATAATATTGATTCGCATAACAGCACTGGCTTCAACTTTTCTGGACAAATTCCACAGACTGGCCTACAATTTTGCACTGTGTATTTAACAAACTGATCCTAGCATTGCTATATTAAAAAATTGTCTAATCAAATATCTCGACACTTTTAAACATCTTAGTGTTTAACACATGATTAGTAATGTACTGACGTTTTTACACAGTGTAAACACTACACTATTACATCTTGTTGGAAAACAAAATGTTTTTTCTCACAAGACATATAACATGTAAAATCTCTTCCTGGTTCTGATCTTTAATTTCCTATGTTTTGACAACTCATAAACTCTGCTCCTACACAACTGCTTCTGTATTTATCACAATTTCGAGTTACTTTGATTTCCACAGTTCACCATTAGCAATGGTAGCTGTGAGAGTTTGGTGGGACTCTCCCACAACGTCACTTGAGTGACCAGTAGGAATCACCTGCATGCGATCAATAGGAGGTTGATCAGGAGCAGGCCCTACTCTGTGCAAATACTCTACTGCATGTCCTTGTTCTAGGTGAGAGATCTGTTGTGGTTGTTGGCCACTGTGAGCTTGGAGCTGAGGATGAACACTGTGCAGCATCACTGGCGCCACCTGCTGCTGAGAACTAGTAGTGTTCACTACATAATAAGTATGTGACTGCTCTTGATCATGAGACAGTACAGGTATGTAGCTATAGGATCCGTGCATCAGCTCTATGGGAACAGAGACTCCCTCGTGTTGGCTGTCGGGTCCATAAAGGGTTGACTGGTCACTGACGTGATTCTTCACAACTAACCCCCTCTGTATGGATGCTTGTAACTTCTCGTTGCCAGCATTCACCACATCGGTCGTCACCTGAGGCTTGCTCACCGGTTCCTCCAAGTCTCCGCCATTGTGAACATCGCTGGTAACAACAGAGATGCGTGCGCGCCTTCTGTCGAGTACCACGCCGTGTTTCACACGCTCGTGTCGCCTCAGGTGGCATTTGTGTCTGAACATGAAACCACAGTAGCTGCAGCGGTGTTGGCCCTGCGTGTTGTGAGCTTTTATGTGAGCGTGACACATCATTTCTGTTTTGAACTTCCACGGACAGTCAGTGTAGCTGCAACTATACGGTCGACTCGGATCATGAACTCTCATGTGCTTTGTCAAATTGGACTTTTCACCATAGGCCATGCCACATATCTCACAGATGAGGCACCCTTCGGGATGAATCTGTCTGTGGGCATGCACGGCGGCATGATTGTCTGACGTGAAATCACACTGCGAACACTTGAACTGGTTGCCATTCCTTAGATGCACTTTCAAATGCTGACCAAGGTTAGATTTTGTTTTAAATGCTTTGCCACACTCTTCACATACACATGGTTTTTCAGAAGTATGTGTCGCATAGTGCTTTTTTAGTGCTGAACGGTAACTGAATACTTTTGTGCACTGCTCGCATGCATGCGAGTCCGTCAGTCTTTTCCTTAAGTTTGCTTTTCTGATTCGACACAGTGACGAGTTAGATGTGGTGATTGGCACTAATGAAGAATGTAGTTCTTCCGATTCATCAACACAAATCTTTACCTGGTTCAAACCATCATTCTGGTCAACATGAGTCTGCTGTGGCTGATCAGCATTTGATATTTCGTTGTCCTGTGCTCGCTGAATGCGATGCCGTGCTCTATAATGCCGTTGTAGTGCTTTGTCCTTCCGAAAGTCCCTCTCACACAACTGACACTTGTAGTGCTCCCCAACTTTATCTGAAGTTGTTAGCAATAATTTACAAAGAAAGTCATGGGCAGGCGAATTTATATTACAAGTAGTACTATCATGTTATGTTGAATCCATTCAGTGTACCAACTAACTAAAACAATGGTACTGCTCTTAACTAGCTCTACACACGCAGCACCTTGCTCCGGCTACAACACTATATAAACAAGTGCTGGGAAATAGAACTGATTTTTTTGCAGTATGGCAGGCTAACTGGTGCCCACTCACTAGCACTGTGTATGCTTAAATCAAATATGGCTGCGTACTTGTTTCTGGTCTTGTTTTAATGTGATAAACAGCTCAATCTTGCCAAATTACATTGAGTTGAGTTTGATTTGAGGATGGGAGACTAAACCTATGACACTTATCTTGCCATCTAGCATATTTTTCTATTGTATAAAGGGCTACAAAAAGTAGCCTGCCATGCAGCAGATTCACTGCGAGTTCCCAGCACTATCGTTCATATAGCCCTGCACTGTGGGAGCAAAGCATCACACAGGTAAAGCTTGTTCAAACATTAGAGTCAGGGACCATTCTAATACACAGTGTTACTAAAAGAACTTTACTCTTGTTTGGCACAAATGAAATTTGCTCTCCTTTTAGAAGCAATAACAACACCCAATCTAATTTTTAACATTTTTGCCAGTTGAGTTTGGAAATTAGCCAATCCCCGGTGACCTGCATACAAAATGTTACTCTACCGCTATAGCCCCTCCATTCCCACTACAGACTACAGTGTTCCCAGCCATGCTGTAAGCATTATTCTCAAATCTTGGTTATGACGCTGTGGTATAGCCCTGTGTAAAGTGTAATAATACTAATATAGGCTGTAACGTGAGGACTGGAACAAAATGTATGCTGGTCACCTTTTTTATTTTTTTCACCTGTTGTAGATATGCAAGCAATGCGGTGTGCAGTCCCAACTAACATTATAACATCATAGTTGTGCGCACCAGCGACGGGGCACACATATTTAGCCCCACTAACGGATGTCACAGTATGATAACATGTATACTCGCAGCTAGGGCCTGCATACCTCGACCAATCAGAGCGCTCGCAGCTCCTCCCAAAGTGACGCGTCGTCGCCCGACCAATCGGAGCGCTCGCAGCTCAGGCCCTAAAGCTGATGCGATGTTTTGTGGTTGCATTATTTAAGCTGGCTATCGTGAGTTGATGGTTACTGGTAAGGGTTAGGGTTAGGGTTTAGATACAATAATGTAACCGAACAAGAGTAGGGTTACAACACAAGCCTATTCTTTTCTTTGGAGGAGCCCCTGAGTGATTCACTTCATCGCGTTCGGCTAACTTCGACTCCAAGATCGAATGTATCATGGGATATGCCTGCTGTCAGTTGTAACGTCATGACGAAGTTAGCCGAACGCTATGCGCATTGGGAATCTGTACGTCACAGGTCAACAAAAATGGCGCTCGAAGTATCGCCGCTCGTCACTTCGAAATTTTGTAACAGGTTATAATAGTTTAATACAGAGTATTGTGATACATAGTAAGTACATAGTAAGTGATACATAGCAGAGAAAGGTTCGTGTTTAGAATAAACCCAGTTTGGAAGTTGTAGTCTTGAAAAACGCACCATAAAACCGCCCTGAGTGAATCACTCAGTGGCTCCTCCAAATTAAAGAATAGGCTCGCGTTGTAACCCTACTCTTGTTGGGTTACATTATTACATCCGCCCAACGAAGTTGGAGGGGAGGTTATGTGATCGGTCTCGTGCGTTTGTGTGTTCGTGTAGCCAGCAGCAGGCCAGTCAGTGTTAGTGTGTTGGCGCGATCGATATTAGCGTGTACATGTGAGCGAGTAGCAGCAACGAGCGGCTGCTACGAGCTATGTCATTGGCGGAGGTATGCACTCTCCGTGAGTGCCCTCTGTCTAGTTGTATCTAGGTTAACTTAGGGTTTAGCTTTATATTTATCAGCTTTAGTGCCTGAGCTGCGAGCGTTCCGATTGGTCGGTCGACGACGCATCACTTTGGGAGGTATACAGGTCCTAGCTGCGTGTAACATGTATTATTGTTGACATGTCATTATGTAACACTAACACTAACACAAACAGCCGCCGAGCAACTCGTCGTACTGCTCCGTACTCGTAGTACTTACGTGCTGCTTGGTGATATAAAAACTCAGCTACACTTGTAAATTCTTGTCGGCATTCTCCACAAACAGAAAATGAATTCAGACTGTTAAAAGCTGTTGATAATGCGACATTAGTATCAGAAATCCCTGAGACAACACTTGAGTTAGACGACAACACCGCCATCTTGTTAAATTCAAATGTTAGCGCCATCTGTATTACAAGATTTCGGGATTTCGAAAGATTTGTTTTATATATTAAAGTTTACGTGTAGAAAATTGATTAAATTATCAAGTTGTTTGCTTATTCGTCTATATGTGTTCACACACTTAGTTCACATATATACGTATGGTGCACCCATTATACCGTACACAATGGTGCCATGTATAATGCCATTATGGTATATGATGGTAATAATGACTACCTCCTCCTTGGTATAGACCCGTGGACTTTGAAGGATATTTTTTATTGTGATATAATGCCGTAGCAACGTGGCCTAAACGTACATATGATTCCACGTGCAATAGCACATGGGGGGACATCACCCCGTGCAATGGCACATAGCATGGATTTCTATTCACAACGCTGTCTCTTTCGTTTCTAATAGCAGAGGCCGTATACAATTATTGCATTAAGTATTTTTTGCATCACGTATTGTATACAGTGGTTGATAATACGTTCCACTATTTCACAATAAATAAATAAATAAATAAGTAGGCTCTTTGGTATCAGTATGACTATAATATGATGAAAACTAGGTTGCCTTTCCTCTACCTTTCGCTACCTTTCGTGCGATCGTAGCGCCCCCTATATCTCTCCCATGCGTGTAGTGTTTTCCCTGCGTGGTGACGTAAGGTCGCGTTTACTATTTGTAGTAGTACTACTACTAGTAGTGTAGCTAGTAGTAGCATACACTGTGTGAGGATGAAGACTAGGTTTAACACTCTTGACATTAGGGCATCGATCACTGAGCTTAATTCTCGGTAGGTATTTATCCTAAGTGAGCTGAAGGTTGGATACAGTTACCAGTTGGTGTAAACCGACCAGGCTCCGACTGTTACACGGCGTAGGAGCCGTGGGTATTAAAACATCAGGTTTAGCGTCGTAAATTAACTTGCAAACGCCACCGCCAGATGGCGCTACGCGGTCTGTCGGCGTTTCGGGCCATAGAAATAGATAGACAACTAGAAAGGACAT